AAAAACATTAACACATCAGTGAATATTAGGAAAATATGTAGATCAATCACATATTTCTTTTTCATAAATGAATGGAAAGAAAGTAGTACTTCATTCTACATTCATTGAATTGCTTATAAGCATCTCTTTATTTCTCGAATTATGCATTGAACATTCATTATGGAAACCGAAAGAGTTATTATTGGACTTCTGAATGAACTTTTTCGTTGTTAAAACGTTAATCGCCCGTTATCGTTAGCCCTTAGCTCGCACAAGTTTCTCAACTTCTGAGAGTTGTCGTTCGTATGGGGGCGACAGCTGANTGTTGGCTTTCTACTTCCGTTTAAAATCTTTTTGAAAACTGTTTTTCCGTTAACCAGCTATCGCACCCCTACGAACGACAATCCTCAGAAGTGGAAACTTGTGCGAGCTAAGGACTAACGAGGTCTTACCTTTTAACGTGTGATTCCTAACACGGGTTGGACGATAGCAAATGAAAATCGATCGTTAACCAACGACCAACGTCGAACTGCCCGGCTACTGACCGACCTACACACCTACAACTATAAACAAAAAATTTGGAAAGCTTTCAAATTCGAGAAGAAAAAAATAACAGCATTAAAATCTTTTCATGAAGATATGTAATGCATACACAAAAGTATCATACACAAACTGGAAAAAATTTTTGGAAACAACTACTTTCCCACGTACATTGAATTACACCAAAGGAAAAAATCCTTTCTCTGAGGCAGAGAACTGTGAATATTTCAACAGCTCAATCAGCTATTTAGAATACTAACAATTGTTAGGATTCTTAGAGTCCAAGGATTTTTTGTGATGGTTTATTCTCTATAAAAAATCAAATCAACCATGAATGATGGGCTTCTTAGTTATATTAATGATGAATGGATTCCACTGTACCAAACTACATTAGATACAAAAGCCTCTGACACAGATCATTTGGGATTTTGACTCATTACTTGTACAAAGTAAAGAATTAAAAAGGTTAGCATCTTTCCAATTATCAAAAAATGTCAGTTTCGGCCCTTATAAATATGTTTGTTGTGTGAACTCTTTGATATACACCTCATATCACACAGATTTAATTTGACCAATAAATAATTGGAAACTCAAAAAACAAGTTATCAAATCGTCAACTCGATTTTCGTTTTCGTTTTGGGGTTGATTTCGGATTATTCTCACTACCTAGAATTAGTTATACAGTGAATATTAATAATAATAATAATAAATCTTTATTTTTCAGTTAAAAAGTATAAGCACATAAATGAATCCAAAAAGTAACTCAATCGATCAATCATTTATTTAATACAGTGGAAAGGTATTCCCAATCACATTATCGCGGGACAAGTAACAATGTTTGTGGATGACTCAACAGTTACAGTCTGTGGAGAAACCCTTGAAGAATTGCACAGTAATATAGAAAAAACTCTCGATGAAATGAAACAATGGTGCCAAAAAATCGACTCATTTTAATTATTGATGAGACAACCTGCATAAATTTCCATATGAGAAAGCCAGTTACAAAAACCTTTCATAAAAATATAATATTCAGTGACAGCATCAAGTTACTCGGGACCTTAGACCTTAGTTTCTCCTCCTACATATACTTTGTAAACAACTCAATAAAGCATACTATGTAATTCTTCAGATGAAACCAATTTTGGANAATTTTATCATTAATATGTTCTATGTGTCCTGACCAGTTTAACTTATCATCTATTATGAGTCCCAAATACTTGGTTTTTGCAACATTCATTAAGGGTAAGTTATTTATTCTCAACTCAATATTTCCACAAATTCTATTTTTTTGTTTAAATAGCATGTGAACGGTTTTTGCAGAGTTCACCTTAAGTTTATTATGTGCAAGCCAATTTGAGTATTTAGACAGATCTTCATTAACTGTGTTCTCCAGTAAATGTAAATCATATACACTGTACAAAAGGACCGTGTCATCGGCGAACGTGAAATACCTTCCCGTAAGCCCGGCCTGCCTCAGTGACAGTACCATCAGTGTATAAGGGGCCCCAAAACGGAACCCATTGGTACCCACAATTATTTTTTATATACTCACTCATGCTCTCACCAACAGCGACAAACTGGGATCTTTCCTTTAAAAATGCCTCAATGAGAGAATAAGTTTTGCCCCTTATACCCATGCAACATAGTTTGTTCAGAAGAACAGTATGGTCAACAACGTCAAATGCCTTTCCTAAATCAATGAACACTACAATAACCATTCATTTTTTATCCAATTCCGATGTAATATTATGAATGAAATCTTTTTTTTACCCATATACTTGAATTTTTTAATTTTTATCTATGTAACGTGAAATTTGTATATTCTCATGACTGTTAGCGACTTTTTTGATTTGCCAATTGCACTCTGTATGAAAAAATGGTGAATAAATACTACTACAACTATCACTACTTATAAAGTTAAAGGACAAGTTAATTTGGAAAAAAATTCTACAAATGAAACACAAAACACTGATAGTATCAACACTAAACAAGCATATAACTAAAATTACACTGGTTATGAAAATCTGTAAGTCAAATGGTATGAAATTAAAACTAAATCAATTCTAGGAATTTTTGAATTGAGTGAGGACACAGATCTATCACGACTTCTTCAAGTTGCCTTTTGAATTTATAAGTTGGCAGACTTCTAAGATTGTATGGAAGAAAGTTGTACAGGTACAAACCAAAAGTAATTGGTGTTCTTTTGGATAATTCCAGGTTTTCGAAGGGCACTTAAAAGTTATCTTTTTTTCTTCTATTGTATGACTGTCACTGTTTCTTGAAAAGCTTGCCATGTATGAATGTCATTACGTCAAAAACGAATATGCCAGCAAGTGTTAATATTTTGTATTCTTTGAAAAATAATCGACATGAGTGATCTGGTGGACAGCCCGCGAGACATCTTCTATATACAGTGTGGCCCATTTTTAATGGAAACACCCCCCTAAAATTTGAAGTTGTAAACCGATTTTGATAATTTCTTTTTGAGATGTCAAGTACTAAAAGGTCTACCTTGGGACAAAATTTGAAATGTTTATTAAAGTTTCAGGGCATACTACGATATTTTTTCTTAGTCGAAAATCAGGATTTTTTATTAGCGATTTTTTTATTGAAAAAATCACTACGCCACTGGATTCAGAGTGCCTCTAAACAGGT